TCGAGCGATTCGGTTGAAGGTCATTGTCGTATCAAAGGTTTTTTTAATCTGTACGCATGCGCATTTAATAGATTTAAAATAAAACAAATCCTATGTTGTTAACAATGATTATGATTATTTTTTTATTAAGTATAGTTAAGTTTATTTTAGACAACCAAACATGCGCAAGGGATCATTACGTTTTAAGTTTAAAAGTTGTTTTTCTTAAATAATATTCTGCTTTGTTCATAATGACCATTTATGTTTTTAACCAAATAACCAATTCATTTTAACTTTTCAGCATATGTTAGGAGAACATTAAGTGTAAGGAATGTTGTTGAAAATGCGTTTGGCATTTGATATTTGTTGGTACAAATTTTAAAATTATTAAGCAGAATAAATCTTCTTGATTTTCGTCGACTTTGAGAAGGTTTTTGACTCGTTAAAGAGAAGAATCATGTGGCATATTCTGGAAGAATATGGGTCCCTCTAAAGATCATCAGTGTTATCAGGGAGATGTATGAGGTTATAGAATGAAGGAGGTGGGATTTTCAGGTATTCAGTGGAAGATGCAAGACAAACTTGAGAAACTTGAGTTTGCGACGATTTTCACTAAGATTGTATAACATGGAGGTAAAGCTGGGAAAACTGCATGATGAAGCAGAAGTATTAGAACTAAAAGTTAATGTTCATAAAACGAAGGAGTTGATTCTGTGGTCATTCTAAGGCAATAGCAAATAAAAGAGACTTGGAACGAGTTGAAACATTCATATACCTTGGTAGCATTTTTAGGAAAGATGGAGAAGGATGTGAAGGAACGCATACAGAGAGCAAATAGGGGCTTCGTGCAATTGTATCCTGTCTGGGGAAATAAGAACATTTCAAAAAGAACAAAACTACGCTTGTTCAATAGTAACGTAAAATCAGTAATCCTGTATGGGTTACAAATGTTCATTAATCAATGCTTGCGACGCAATTTTTTTTGTACTTTTTTTCACAGTTTTAATATTTTGATGTAGTTTTTGTAGTTTTGACATATATTTTTTTGCCCATCACTAACAATAAAACAAAAGTCTGATATATTAGAAAGACTAGTTCATGGTGAATGTGAAAAAGTGTTTCTAAATGAATACGGAGCAGGAACAACTATAAATTTTTGATATAAAAAAGTGTAAAGAGAATCTGAAAAGATAAAACTGATTTTAGACATTTGCTATGCAACTTCGATATTTACTGTACTACGAATTAATAGCAAATCGAAGCTGCTCCTTGTGCATTTTGTATATAAAGATTCGGTTGAAGGTTTTAGATTTATTGCCAAATGTGATTCTGATCCTGGCGCCAGAAAAACCTTAGGAACAGCCGAATATCCAATTGAAACTAATTTGTATACAAGGTTTGGTACGAAACGATCAAGACACGTTCTGATTTCCTACGAAATTTTATCTGCCAAAGCAAAACAATGTTATACTGAAATCTATGGAAATGATAATTTTAGAGCTAGTAGAGGCTGGATTTCAAACTTTAGACTTCAGAGAGAATGATCAAAATGCCGTCAATCCTTTCCTAACTAAATTAGCAGAGAAGATAAAAACATTAAACATCGGACCTACTCACATATACAATGCAGATGATTCTGTTATGTATTGGAAAATAATGCCTGAAAAAACGCTGCTTCGTTCTCAGGAAAAAACCGCTATCTTTCTAGCATGTTGCAATACTGATGGTTAACAAAAATTAGTTTCTAGTTTTAATTAAGAAGACATTGTTAAGTTACAAAAACATTAACAGAAGGACGCTGTATGTCTACTATGCAATACTTGCGAAAAAGTCTCCACCGAAGACTTGGAGAATTGCTGACACAAAATTATCAAATTTTGCAAACTTCAAACATTGTTTTCTCAAAAACTAAAAGTGATTTTTCAAAACGGCTTGTTGCATTAAAAAGAGAATACTTTAATTAATAATTGGTGATATTTCCACAAGGATCTTTCAAGAAATGAATTTTATAGCGAATTTTTAAAATTATCGATGAAATTTGCAAAATCGAAAATTTTATGAAAACTACAAATATTGTTTTTTCAAAAACTAAAAGTAATTTTTCAAAATGGGTTGGTTTATTGGAAAGAAGACACTTTTATTAACATTTTGGTACATTTTTATGCTCATATTCCAAAGAATCGATTTTATACGAATTATTAAAATTTAATCGGCGGAAATTGCAAAATTCGAAAAAATTGTCGATTATTTCAAAAATTTATTTCTCAAGAACTAAAAGTGATTTTTCAAAACGGCTTGTTGCATTAAAAAGAGAATACTTTAATTAATAATTAGCCATATTTTCACAAGGATCCTTCAAGAAATGAATTTTATAGCGAATTTAAAAAATTATTNTTCAAAAATTTATTTCTCAAGAACCAAAAGTGATTTTTCAAAACGGCTTTTTGCATTAAAAAGAGAATACTTTAATTAATAATTGGCGATATTTCCACAAGGATCCTTCAAGAAATGAATTTTATAGCGAATTTTGAAAATTATCGATGAAATTTGCAACATCAAAAATTTTCAAAACTACAAATATTGTTTTCTCAAAAACTAAAAGTTATTTTTCAAAATGGGTTGGTTCATTGGAAAGAGGACACTTTTATTAACATATTGGGAAATTTTTATACTCATATTCCAAGAACTGGATTTTATACGAATTTTTAAAACTTAATCGGAGAAAATTACAAAATTCGAAAAAATTGTGGATAATTTCAAAAATATATTTCTCAAAAACTAAATACAATTTTTTAAAAAAATTCGCAATTTGCATTAAAAAGAGGATACTTTAATTAATAATTTGTGATGTTTCCACAAGGATCCTTCAAGAATCAATTACTAGCGATGAGAAAAAAACTAGACGAAACTGCAACAAGAGATTTTATATATCGTATTGGGATTGTTACAATGAGGTTGCTAATGATAAATAAAGTTGAAATGAAAAAAGTCGTATTGGGGTTGAATTTGATTATTATCTGCACTGTCCAACATCTAAAAGAGATAATAATTCCTGTGAATGGTGGAGTACTACTTTTTTTTATTAATAATTCATAAATATTGAACAGATGTTTCAGATATGATGTATGATCTCACTGAGCAGAATCTTACGAACGCGGAAATATACTTTTTTTATTATTTATTAATGACTTGGCTGATAACGTTCCTGCGTCAAGTAACATTATATTATTTGCTGATGACACAACCACTGTGAATACAACCTCAGGGTTGCTTTGACTTGTTTTCAGCTAATCCGCTTAGCGTAAATGAATCTAAGACTGAGCGGTTAATCTTCTCATTACGTGCACTAAATGATAATGTTGATAACCCTACTGTCAAATATCTAGGAGTTCATTTAGATCGTAAACTTACATGGGAAGAGCATGCAATACAAACTACTAGTAAATTAAACAAAATTATTTACTGTATTAGAAATTTAATTAATATCGTTCCAGTAAATACAGTAATGACGGCATACTATGGATATTTTTATGCTCACTTATCATATGCCATTCTCGCTTGGGGTCATTCTGCACATGCTGCTCGGGTGTTTAGCGCTCAGAGACGATTTATCCGAGTGATTTCGAATTTAAAATTCTCTGAGTGTTGTAGAACTAAATTTTTAGAGTTAAAAATCTTAATATTCAGAATTTTAAAAGACATGATTCCATAATAATGGAATAATGGAATCATGTCCATCATTATGGAACCAGACACCATGATAACCTCGTAATTGATTATGCTCGCACTGAAAGAGCTAAGTATGGCACTAATTATGGAATCATATTTTTTAATTTGTTGCCTAATCCCATTAAATGATGAACATTTGTTTGCACTGGAAAACATAGATGGTGCAGATGAACCAACATGAGAAAGTGAAGGTCAAGAATTAAAAAATACGAACCAGACTGTTAAGAATGATGAGGCAGTTAAAAGTTTTAATGTGTGCATAAAGTAAGCAAAAAAAATTATATTCCACTGAATGATGTTCTTCTATTTCAAAGATTAAAAGAATCTTTTATAATGAACCAGAAATTACAAGTTGTTTCAACAAATAATTCTGTTCACTTCTATTGTAAATAATCCTTATGTAAATAGTGTTTTTTAGTTATTTTACATTAAATGATTTGCTTTTCAATAGAAAATTTGTCTCACCCTTCAGATCAAACTGGTTTGATTTTTGCCGTGAGTTCGCTCGCGTATACTAGTTCAAAATGACAACTAGTAATACAATGAAAAGTCATGTTATTAAATTACAAGACAATGAAACCATACAGTTTGTAAAATTGTATGCTAGTGAACTGCTGTTGTTGTATGATGCAACTACCGAAAAGATTTGAGAATGGCAACATTTAAGGAGTTCATGCCTTCAGGAGTTGAAGAAAATAGCCGACAGTGAGCTATTTGGAGTCGGAACTAATAACGTTTATAGGCCAAAAATGTTCTAGTTTAACCTGATGAAGCTTTTCATTCGCTCATTCATTCAGCAACGACGATCCACACAATCAAAATTGTTTTAGTGTTTACTGCTTGTCTCATATTTGTATCTGATTTGGAAATTAGTGGTGAAACACCTTCCAGAAGATAATCAAACTAGCACTCAGACATTCGTAGCAAGTTTTTAAAATCAAGCTCACCACAGCATAAGCTTCAATGAGCAGCTCGTTCATGGTCGACTTTTCGCAATCAACTGAATCATGTTTTCGTTGATACTTCAGTCCTTGTGAAGCTACTTCAGCACATGCATGAAAGCAAATACGATGGCGTGATACATTTGGTTTTCACACTCCGTGGGGACTCACCTTTAAGTTAGATTATTTATTATTATACTTCCTGTTCTTACCTGTTTCGTTTTATATCACAGCAAACTCCTGGATACTCACGTTAAAAGAATTTATGTAAAGGTTGATAAAAAAAATTCAATTTTTATTTTTTCTTTAAATGCATCTTCAAAAAATAGATTAATAAAATAACTAAATACATCAGTCTTATAGCTTTGTTTCTATTTTTCGAAATAAACTCAAAAGAAAGAGTTTATTTCCAATATTAAATAGTTTTTTAATATCTTTTTATATAACCTACAATAAATAGGAGGTATTATTTATTGTAAGTTTTTATGTTTATTGAAACGCAAATAATATGATTAAAATCGGAATTGCGATTACAAAAATTATATAAATCATTGTTCTTGGTTCACATTGGGATACAACGACATACTCCTGATTCCACATATCATCATTTTCAGTAACCGGAAGTTCCATAACAAGTTTTTCACTCGAAAAAAAATTCAAATTCATCGAACAAACATCGGATGTATTTTTACAAGTGGAAATCGGGTTTGAAACGTTATAAACTTTTTTGTGCAAATTAAATCGAACGCGGATATAGTTCGTTTGAATTTCATTTTCGCTGTTAAAAACGAAGAAATAATAACCATTTACAGGAACTCTAAAAAAAAACAAAATTTTTAAGTTAATAATATCAACAAATTTTTAACTAAGTACTTACGTGTATGTTATTGTATTTGCAAGATAAGCATCTTCAATTTCAAGGTGATTACTTGTGTTCATACAACCTTTGTGAGGTTCTAACGGTAAGTTCAGAATTAATCCGGCACAATTTAAAAGAGCTTCTTCTGAACTGCTAAAAGATGACCAAAATTCACTGTTACTTTTATCATTTAAGGTGTTTTCGTCAATTTTTCCACGATGATCTGCTATTCCATCAGGTGTGAATCCCTGTAAGAGTTTTTGATATAACTTTTAACTAAATTTAATAAATCTTTGAAGTTACAGTAGTTTTTAAAATGATATGATTTATCTTCAATCGATTCATTACTTTCAAGCTTTAATTTCAGTCATAAGTTATAAGATAAAGAAATGTATCTTTATAAATAAAGTCAATATGATTTGTTGTGTTTGTGGAAATGAATCTACTAATATCTTATCTATGTACCAAGGTTCAGTATTTCATTTAGCCGCTATTACATCTTAAAGTTTAACAAAATAATCATTTTGATACAGACATAATACTAAAAATAGACTCGAGATCGATTTTGCACAATTACTATATTTCCTTTTTATATACTATGATATATATTACTATGATAGCATTGGGCTGCCAACCTTATTAAATAATTAATGATATAATTTGATATAAATACACTACATTACCTCTTCAATTGCAGCATCATTTTCCTCATCATGCCCACTAAAACTTTTTTCCATAACCTCTCTTAGCAAATCCCTTTTTCTTCTTTTAGCTCTATCAATAGAATCTTCATATTTTACAGGTGGTTTCGAATATTGTCTCCCTCGCACATTCAGGATATGTTCATCTTCACTATCAAAACTTTCAGAATCATCCAATTTTCGATATTTCTCGTTTAACCTCTTCAAAACAGCCTCTCCTTCTTCACCCAAATCCTTCAATTTCACCAAAACATCTTTATAAACTTCATCGGCAGTTTCCTTCTCCTTTTCAAATTTAAAATTTTTAGTTTCCCCCTTTCCGAAAGTTGAATTTCTGTGAACGTGATTCCTTTTCACGTCATCTTGTAGAAATTTATCTTTTTTATTGGTTTTCACGGCAAGTTCTTTAAGAATATCTTTCAATTGATTCTGATCCGTAATATCAGTTGTATCTAAACCGTCGAAAATCGTGTGATTTTTACTACTTGAATTTTTGTGATCTGGGTGATGAAATTGCACATCTTGGCGATGTCTTTTCATTAAATTTGGTACGTTCGATGGGGCTTCCTCGGAAAGTATATTGTTTTGTTGGACGTAATTTCCTTCAGCTATCGCTTCCATAATTTCATCAAGTTCTTCCGAGGAATTATCACCGATGTAAGCGCATTCATGGAGGTGTTTATGACCTCTAATTACTATTAATGAAGCACCGGGCCATCTAAAAAAAATTATTTATTACAGTAAAACCTGGATATAACGAACCTCGTTATTATTATTATTAGATAGACTATATAGGTAGATAGAATTCAACTTGGATTATTCCTCAAGTTGCTCTATTCCATGTTTCTAGATAAACTCGGGGAATTTCCCGAGATTCTGTCAGCGCTTTATTTAGTCATTGACTGTTATTGAGACATTTTTGCAGTTTTATGAAACTTGCCACAAAAAAAGCAAACAAATATGCAAATCTTATAAGCAAGCCGATTATTTCAAGAGAATTTTGCTCTCAGGCTCAAATAGACTTGATTGATTACGAATCATGTCAGGATTGAAGTGGCAAAAGTGAAATGCTAAACAAATCGATGTGCGTGTTTTAAAAACAAATTTAGATGCCATAATAGTGCTACTTGCACAAATAAATAGTTAAATCACAATAGTTAATAAAATATATGCCAAATAACATATTATAATAAATACAGGAGGTTTTTTAATAAATGTCTAATATTCTACAGGACGATTCCTCAAGTATTTTTAAAATAAAAAGTTGTTTGAGTATGAAAATTTCCAAATATGTTAATAAAAGTGTCCTCTTTCCAATGAACTAACCCATTTTGAAAAATAACTTTTAGTTTTTGAGAAAACAATATTTGACGTTTTGATAAAATTTTCAAATTTGCAATTTTTATCGATAACTTTCAAAATTCGCTAAAAAATTCATTTCTTGAAGGATCCTTGTGGAAATATCACCAATTATTAATTAATATATCCTCTTGTTAATGCAACAAGCCGTTTTGAAAAATCACTTTCAGTTTTTGAGAAATAAATTTTTGAAATGATCGACAATTTTTTTGAATTTTGCAATTTTCGCCGATTAAGATTTAAAAATTCGTATAAAATCCAGTTCTTGGAATATGAGTATGAAAGTTTCCCAAAGTGTTAATAAAACTGTCTCCTTTCTAATGAACCAACCCATTTTGAAAAATAACTTTTAGTTTTTGAGAAAACAGTATTTGAAGTTTTAATAAAATATTCGATGTTGCAGTTTTCATCCATAAGTTTCAAAATTCGCTATAAAATTCATTTCTTGAAGAATCCTTGTGGAAATATCACCAATTATTAATTAAAATATCATCTTTTTAATGCAAAAAGCCGTTTTCAAAAATCACTTTTAGTTCTTGTGAAATGAATTTTTGAAATAATCGACAATTTTTGTCGAATTTTGCAATTTTCGTCGATTAAGATTTAAAAATTCGTATAAAATCCAGTTCTTGGAATATGAGTATGAAAATTGCCCAAAGTGTTAACAAAAGTGTCTTCTTTCCAATAAACCAACCCGTTTTGCAAAATAGCTTTTAATTTTTGAGAAAACAATATTTGGAGTTTTGATCATATTTTCGATGTTGCAATTTTCATCGATAATTTTCAAAATTCGATATAAAATTCATTTCTTGAAGGATCTTTGTGTAAATATCACCAATTATTAATTAAAGTATACTCTTTTTAATGCAAAAAGCCGTTTTGAAAAAACACTTTTAGTTTTTGAGAAATAAATTTTTGAAATGATCGACAATTTTTTCGAATTTTGCAATTTTCCCCGATTAGGTTTTAATAATTCGTATAAAATCCAGTTCTTGGAATATGAGTATGAAAATTTCCCAAAGTGTTAATAAAAGTGCCTTCTTTCCAATGAACCAACCCGTTTTGAAAAATAGCTTTTAGTTTTTGAGAAAACAATATTTGAAGTTTTGATAAAATTTTCGAT